CGGTCGACCGCGATCAATTCCGGTCGACCGGCCCGGTCGACCGACCAGCTCTCAGTAGAAAACCCAAACTCCAGAGAACCGTCGGTCGACCGCACCGGTCGACCGATCTCCTTCCAGACGCACAGGAAGCCTTGTACACGAATGCGGTCGACCGCCCGCCCCCCCCCCCGCCTGTTTTTCCTGATTCTGCTGCTGATGCTGAAATTCCTTCAATTCTCCACCTCGGCGAATGTTTCCACCAAAAACTGAGCCGACACCAAACCATCCAATAGTTCCTCAACAGGTCCAGGAACAATACTCGAGCTGAAACACGATCTCCCCCCATCTTGATCAACTGATCAAACCGGCTGCATCTAAAGACTGCCTACGTATCCTCTTGCCCAAGGAATCAAGCCGAACGTAGTTCATATTAATGGCCTCCAAAGGCCTCAGCACTGAAGGATGTTCAAAAGCTTCAAACAATGACCAAATTTCACTCCTGAAACAACTTTGGTCAACATATCTGCAGGGTTGTCATTTGTGTGGACCTTCTCCAATATGACATCTCCATCATCCAAGACGTCCCGTACAAAGTGGAATCTGACGTCGATGTGCTTCGTGCGCGCATGATAAACCTGGTTCTTCGCCAAATAGATAGCCGACATACTATCACAATATATCCGAATAGTCTCCTGTGCAATCCCCAAGTCCTCCAATAATCCACGCAACCATAAAGCCTCCTTAATAGCTTCAGTAACTGCCATATACTCTGCCTCTGTAGTAGAGAGAGCCACTGTGGACTGAAGCGTGCAACGCCAACATACAGGTGCACCTGCCAATGTAAAAGCATAACCTGACGTAGACCGGCGTTTGTCAAGATCTCCAGCATAATCTGAATCCACATAACCAATACAAGCCTGCCCGTCCTTCTCATCCTTCTGAAACACTAAACCAACATCCACGGTGCCTCGAACATACCGTAGAATCCACTTCACGGCCTCCCAGTGACCCTTCCCGGGGTCATGCATGTATCTCGATACCATGCTCACGGCCTGTGACAAATCTGGCCTCGTACACACCATCGCATACATCAAGCTACCTACTGCACTAGCATATGGGACCTTCGACATATAATCTCTGTCCTCAACTGAAACAGGTGACATCAACGCTGAAAGCTTGAAGTGGGGAGCCAATGGTGTGCTAACTGCTTTTGCATTGCCATCAAAGCTGAATTTCTTCAACATCTTCTGCAAGTAGCTCTTCTGTGTAAGCTTCAATTTCCCCTTCACCCTGTCTCGCTCGATCTCCATACCCAATATCTTCTTTGCCTCTCCAAGATCCTTCATCTCAAACTCGGATGATAACTCCTCTTTCAGCTTTCGAATAGCCGAAGAATTCCTGGAAGCAATAAGCATATCATCAACATATAAAAGCAAATATATGAGCTCACCATCCTGTAGCTTGTGCATATAAACACATGGGTCATATGGGCTCCTTGTGTACCCTCGGCCAATCATAAAGCCGTCGAATCTCTTATACCACTGTCTTGGTGACTGCTTCAAACCATAAAGAGACTTCTTCAGCTTACAAACCAAATTTTCCTTTCCTGCAGCTTTGAAACCCTGTGGTTGTGTCATGTAGATCTCCTCATCTAAATCACCGTGTAGAAAGGCTGTCTTCACATCCATCTGGACCAAATCCAAATCCAACTGTGCCACCAACGCCAATAAAATCCGAATCGACGAATGCTTCACAACGGGTGAAAATACCTCGTTGTAATCAATGCCCTCAAGCTGTGCATATCCCTTGGCAACTAATCTGGCTTTGAACCGAATGTCCCCAATAGAAGATCCCTCCTTCTTCGCATATACCCACTTGCAACCAATAGCTTTCTTACCCTTAGGTAGATGTGCAAGTGTCCAAGTGTCGTTCTTCTGAAGAGACCGCATCTCCTCCTCCATAGCTTCCCTCCACCTGATCGAATCGGGGCTAGACTCTGCCTCCCTGAATGTGGCTGGAACCATATCATCAACGACCTCCACTGATAATGCATATGCGACCATGACATCATTATACCTAGCTGGCCGACGAATCTCTCTCCTCGGTCTATCTGCTGCAATGGTCCTCTGAACATGACCCTGTTCCTGAGTCCCATGATCTACTGTATCCTGTATCTGCCCATCTGTCATCTCATCTCCTCCCAGTGTCACCTCTGTAGGAGCCTCAATGGATACAGTGTTCTCTGGAGTGGGTGGAGTCACATCATCCTCCACCTGCTGCGATATCTCTCCTGTCTGGTCTCCCTCCACCTGCTGAGGGGTTCGAGGCCTCATCATGTACGCCTCGTCAAATGTGACATCTCTGCTAATAACTATCTTCTTGTCCTGTGGATCCCATAACTTGAAGCCTTTGACTCCATCTCTAAATCCCACAAAGACTGCTTTCCTCGCTCTCGGATTTAATTTACCATCACTGACATGATAATAAGCTGGACACCCGAATATCCGAAGCGACTCATAGTCACTAGCCTCCGAACCAAACCAACGCTCCAAAGGAGTCTTCCCGTCTATCGCAGTGCACGGCAACCTGTTCACAAGATGGCTCGCATAAACCAACGCCTCGGCCCAAAAAGATCTAGGCAATCCACTCTGCGTCATCATACACCGCACCTTCTCCAGCAAGGTACGGTTCAATCTCTCAGCCACCCCGTTCTGTTGCGGTGTCTCTCGAACTGTGAAGTGTCTTCTAATGCCGTGATCCCGGCAAAACTGCAGAAACGGATCACTCTTGTACTCTCCACCGTTATCTGAACGTAGAGTCTTCACCTTTCTACCTGTCTGCAGCTCCACTTTCTTTTTCCACTCCACAAAAATATCCAGGACCTGATGTTTATGCTTCATCGGGTATACCCAATTCCTCCTGGAATAATCATCAATGAAAGTGACAAAATAGTTGGCCCCACCAAGAGATGTGTTCTTGGAAGGACCCCAAACGTCCGTGTGAATATAATCCAATGTACCTTGGGTGTTATGAACAGCGGTGCCGAACTTCACTCTAGTCTTCTTCCCAAGTACACAATGCTCACACAATTCCATCTTGCAGGTCTTAGCACCTTTCAATAGCCCCTGTTTAGCCAATGACTGTAGGGACTTATCTCCTGTGTGTCCAAGTCTCATGTGCCATAAGGTGGTAGTGTCCTCCTCTGTAGTGATAGAAGCTGCCAGACCCCCTGTAACTGTCTTGCCCTTCAAGTAGTATAGGTAGTTTTCCCTGACACCTCGCATCACCACCATAGAACCCTTCGTGACCTTCACTGTAGCATCCTCTAAGATCACTCGATATCCTGCTGCCTCCAAAGTCCCAAGAGAAATGATGTTCTTCGTCAACTGCGGCACGAACCTCACTTCCTTCAATTCCCTCACTACACCATCATGCATCCTGATCCGGACTGA